GACGCAGCCCCTTGTTACTTGACTTGCCCACCACCTGTTCGACAAAAAACTCCTACACGAGTGTTGTCAAAGTCACATCTTTTAATCGATTAACTCAAAGAAAACGTTTCATCTTTTGAGGAATCGAAGTCAGAATTTGTTTGATCATGGATCGTTGGTCGGGCGTTTTGAAGATTCCGTTGGATGCTAGTACTATCAACTACTACAGAGTTGCAGCATCTCTTTGCCTTTCTTCTTCTTCTTCCAAAACCGTAACTGTGAGTTACCCACTTTCTCTTTTCTCCTGATTTCCAGAAAAAAAAAATCGTTGCTTTTTGCTAATTAAAAAAATGCTTCCTTTTGATCAGCAACTGCCTTCTGCAAATGCAATATTCTTTCATGGGGATAGAGTTCGAGAGACTGGGAATCATGCGATTGAGAGGGTTTATGATTTGCAGAAAGTAGCTGAGATTATAGTTTCTAAATTTGGAAACTCTGTTAATGCTTGGGTTGTTGAAGCTTCTTTGTATAATGGACCTTTTGCGGTTTACAAGGACTTTGTTCCATCAGTGAATCAATGGGGAGAACCAAAATCATATTCCTCTATTGGCTTCCCAGCTTCTTCATCGATTTTATCCCTTTTATCCAGTTTCCTTAAGGAGGTACTTCTCTTGTTTATGATTAAGCTACAAGTTCGATTATCGTATTTCAGTTTTATCGATGTTGACGATATATGATTGTCAAATTCAGGCAAAGAGTCTCATTTTGAAGGAAGGTAAAGAAGTGTGTTTGATACATCACTGTCCCAGAACAGTTGTTCTTGGGTTTAGCAAGGGTGGAGTTGTGATGAACCAGCTTCTGAGTGAGATCAGTTCTTTGGATACAAACTTTGCGGAAACTTCATGTGGAATTGAAGAGCCTACGAGCCAACATGAAAAGATTCAGATCATACCAGCCTCAATAGAAAACTTCCTGAACAGTATTTCTGAAGTTCATTATATCGATGTAGGATTGAACTCTTCTGGTGCCTACATCACTGATCACAGTGTCGTGCAGAGAATCTCACAGCGGATTGCACGAGGAGCCAACTCGGTACGCATTTTCATTCATGGGACTCCCAGGCAGTGGTGTGACGAGCAGCGTGGCTGGATTCTCAGAGAAAAAGATGAGCTGGTTCGCTTGCTCAAATCCGGAGCTGAAAATTCCGGTGGGAAACTACAAGTCCATGAAAGGTTCTATTTTGCTGACAGGCTTCCGGATATGCAAATGCACTTTGAGATAATTGACGCTATGGATGTCTCGTCAGCATGATGATGTCACTCTGTGAAGGTAAACAATCTCTCTTACTTGATGTGGCCATGAATCTTTCTTTGACATCTTAGTCAAACAATAAAAAATGTGGAAAAACCAAGGAAGTTTCCGAGATAGTGAAAGATGGTTTATCCGTTTATGATTATTTTGACTGAAAATCCAAACGTGATGGATCACCACTCCTTGAATTGTTTAGGATTACTTCCAAATACTTGTGAATTTTTTTTTTCTGAAACTTTCAAAGAATATGACCATATCTATGCTAGATGTTGTGATTAAGGAGAATGGTAAAGATGGTTTTTGAAATCAAATTAAATGACAAGTGTTCCAATGTTTGTTTTTTTGCCCTTAAAACATTTCCAAAAGGCTAAACAAAGGTCAATGCTTCTGATAGCAGTAGTAATAATTTTTCCATCGGGTTAAGACTTCAGAGCTTAATCATATACTATGAGAATTCTCCATTCCTTAGTGCTAGGAGCACAAGTAGCGTCTATAGTCTGTACTAAGTAGATTTGGAAGTTCTAGCTTTATGCTCTTAGGCTTTATGTTGTGACATACTGACATGTGAATCAGAGAAGTGAACGAAAACAAAGTAAGAAACTTAAAACAATAACTTAGTTTCTCATATCCAAAAGTAATGCAGCGTAGTTTATATGTGTTACTACCCCAAAGCTGGTAGGGAAATGTATTTTCATATTTTTCTGATGTCATCAAATGTGTTTGGAAAAAGAAATGTTCTGTTCTCAGCTTCCTTTTTTTTTTTAATAATATTACTGTAATCTGATTGGAAGGTGACATTTTGAACTTGTCTGCTTCCTTGTGCGTTGGGAGAATCTAGTCGGCAAATCTTGGATTCCTTATAACATAGATTATTTCTTGTCTTTGCTATATGTTCTCTGCATCTTTGAAAGGCAAACAATTGATATTTTGGTCAGGGTCCTAGTTCAGGTATGTAATATTGCACTGCTTGTCGTTTATTCAAGCAAGTCTAATACTCTATTGATTCAATTTATTAAGTTTCAGATAATCATCTTTTGTGTGAAATGAAAATGTGGATTCGTAATACTATTAGCAAGGATTGTTCGTGATGTTATTAACCAAAACGAAAATATAGTTTGTTCATGACGTTACACAACGATTTCCCATTACAGATTCCATTATTGAATTTTAGTGACTTCTGGCTCAAGCAAAAGGAAGTTTAATATGGCTGATGATAATTCGGTAGCTCTCCAAACTATCAGCAATGAAAGCTTGAATCTGGTATATACAAACCACCAATGTTGCAGTCTCCGATGAGCGTTACTGTTAGCTTTACAAGCTGTCAGTACAAATATGTAATTTCTTATGGTTCCTCGCCTTACAGGAAACGGCACATATTGAAGAAGTTTTTACCAATCTCACATGTACGAAAGAGGGGTTGAGCTCTGAAGAAGCACTTGCACGACTTACGAGGTTTGGTTACAACAAACTTGAAGAGAAAAAGGTCAGAAATGAATTTCAATTTCACATATATGTGTGTGTCCTCCTAAAATTTGTTTGTACCATGTTTTCTGTCTTTTCTGGTTGATGTCTCTTTTTCCGGTCTGTAGGAAAATAAAATACTCAAGTTCTTGGGATTTATGTGGAATCCATTGTCATGGGTCATGGAAGCTGCTGCCATCATGGCCATTGCTCTGGCACATGGAGGAGTACGTTTTTCGTTTCCTCTCCTTAGTTATGATCAATGATTAGCTTAAATCAGTTTCAGATTCTGATCGGATTGATTTATCATAATTGTTCAGGGCAAGCCGGCGGATTATCCTGATTTCGTGGGGATTGTGGTCTTACTTGTGATAAACTCGACTATTAGTTTCATAGAAGAAAACAATGCAGGCAATGCAGCTGCTGCTCTCATGGCTCGTCTGGCACTTAAAGCGAGGGTCTCTTTCTTTATGTCTAATGTTTTTAATCTCAAGTTTCATCTTCTTTAAGATGCCAAAGGCTTACTTTTTAATCAACCATTTTAGGTCCGCCGTGATAACGAATGGAATGAGATAGATGCAGCTGTGTTGGTTCCAGGAGATATAATTAGTATCAGACTTGGAGTTATCGTTCCTGCTGATGCTCGTCTTCTTGAAGGAGACCCTATAAAGATTGACCAGGCAAGTTCTTTTTCTCTACGTGTGAGAATGACTCTGCATTTTAGCGATCTTCAGACTAACTCTGGCTAATCATTAAGTGCAGTCAGCACTTACAGGCGAATCTCTTCCTGTGACAAAAAACCCTGATCATTTAGTGTACTCTGGTTCAACCTGCAAGCAAGGTGAAATAGAAGCAGTTGTGGTCGCTACTGGGGTTCACTCTTTCTTTGGTAGGGCAGCTCATCTTGTGGAGAATACTATCCACGTTGGTCATTTCCAGAAGGTTTGTTGATACTTTAGGCGTATAACAAGTAGAGTTTAGTATTTCAAAGATCTCCTGAATTAATTACTAAATGTGAACTTTATATTTGTATGTTTGCAGGTTTTGACATCAATAGGAAACTTTTGTATCTGCTCAATTGGAGTTGGAATGGCGATTGAAATTATTGTTATATATGGTCTCCAAAAAAGAGGCTATCGTGTTGGTATCGATAACCTTCTTGTCTTGCTGATTGGTGGGATCCCCATCGCAATGCCTACTGTCTTATCTGTTACAATGGCAATCGGTGCGCACCGCTTGTCTCAGCAGGTCTATACCACTCTTAAGACATATTAGCTTATTCATATCTGTCTTATTTTTCTTGATTGTGTCTTTTGTATAATGACCTTGTGATACGCTTGAAGGGTGCCATAACAAAGAGGATGACAGCAATTGAAGAAATGGCAGGAATGGATGTTCTGTGTAGTGATAAAACTGGCACTCTCACGTTAAACCAGCTTACTGTGGACAGAAAGCTGATCGAGGTTTTTTTTTCTTCTTGTCACTTACAGTTACAGATCCGGGTAGGCTTGTGATGATAATGCACTTGTGATGTTGCAGATTTTCAAGGAGGGGGTTGACCATGATATGGTTGTGCTTATGGCTGCTAGAGCTGCACGTTTAGAAAATCAGGATGCAATCGATACTGCAATTGTTTCGATGCTGGGAGATCCAAGAGAGGTCATGATTTAAGACTCAACGGCACTAAAATATTCAAGAATGCTGAAGAGTTTTGCTTCTAGTAAACGTATTTGTAATGTACTGCTTGAATACTTTTCTTCAGGCACGTGCCGGAATTGAAGAACTCCATTTTCTTCCATTCAGTCCAGCTAATAGAAGGACAGCGATTACTTATCGAGATGGCGAAGGAAGAGTGCATCGCGTGAGCAAAGGCGCACCTGAAGAGGTTATAAGATTTGCCTTTAACTTCGCTATAGCTATTGCAACATTACCTTTAATATACCAATTTTGTTTTGCTGAGTTTTTACTCTCCAATTTTTCTCCTTGTCCAGATTTTGGACATGGTCCACAACAAATCAGAAATCAAGAACGGGGTACATTCGTTTATCGAGAAGTTTGCTGAACGGGGTCTAAGATCCCTTGGATTGGCTTACCAGGTGCGACATAGTTTATTGACAATTGTTTTGAAACAGTGTGCACTTGTTTTAGATGATATATTTCTTTCGACACAACAATGTAAACGTCCGTATTCAACAAAGGAAGTACCAGATGGCGATATTAAAGGCCAGGGTGGTCCATGGGAATTCATAGCTCTTCTTCCTCTGTTTGATCCTCCTCGCCATGACAGTGCTCAGACAATTGAGCGAGCTCTTCAGCTTGGAGTCAGTGTTAAAATGATCACAGGTACACAAAACATCTTTCCATTGCATCATTTTTTTAGCTCATACTCTACCTCGGGTTCCTTTACTCATACAATGTTTACTGACGCAGGTGACCAGCTTGCGATTGCCAAAGAAACAGGAAGAAGGCTTGGAATGGGCACAAATATGTACCCATTTTCCGCTTTGCTTGGTGGAAGTGAAGCAGAATCAACAATGCTCATGGATGAACTCGTTGAAAAAGCAGATGGTTTTGCAGGAGTCTTTCCCGGTAGGTTTTCTGATACTCTTTCTGTAACTTCATGATCTTAGAACTATATCAAGAATGACAAACTTCTTTGCTTGACTTGTAAGAGCACAAGTATGAGATCGTAAGGAGACTACAAGCCAAAAAGCACATTTGCGGTATGACTGGTGATGGAGTGAACGATGCACCTGCCTTGAAGATAGCAGATATTGGAATCGCTGTGGATGATGCCACGGATGCTGCTCGTGGTGCTTCTGATATTGTCTTAACAGAACCAGGGCTAAGTGTTATCATCAGTGCTGTCTTGACTAGCCGTGCAATTTTCCAGAGAATGAAGAATTACACGGTATCATCCTCGCTGACTTACCAGTCCCTATCAAAGTTATAAAAAACATATCTATGTGTCACAACAATGAGATTATATTGATTAATTTTCTTTCATATTGCAGATATATGCTGTTTCAATCACTATACGTATTGTGGTAGGCTTCTGATTTCCTCTACACTGGAGAAGATGGACACTTTTTGTTCTTATTCACACTTTTTTTTCTACTGCTCTTGTAACAGATGGGTTTCATGCTTTTATGTGTCTTCTGGAAATTTGACTTCCCTCCGTTCATGGTTCTTGTAATTGCAATCCTTAACGATGGTTAGTCGCTGTTGACCTTTTCATGATTTAGTGGTAGGATGCTGTTGCTGCTACTCTTAAGTAATGCCTTGCTCTGTTTTTGAAAGGTACTATAATGACAATATCCAAGGATAGGGTAAAGCCTTCTCCAACACCAGATTGTTGGAAACTCAAGGAAATATTTGCTACCGGTGTTATCCTTGGAACTTACTTGGCACTGATGACAGTCATTTTTTTCTGGGCAGCTTATGAAACCAACTTCTTCACTGTAATCTTTCACTACCCTCTCTCTTTGTTCATACTCCAAGCGTGGCTCTCTTATGGAATAATCTTTTTCTTTCCTCTTATGTTAGAATATATTCCCGGTGAGGGATTTCAACCAGCACCATTTCAACATGACAGACAAGAAAGTGGCTGCAAAGCTGAATGAAGAGATGGCCTCCGCGGTGTACCTTCAAGTAAGCACGATTAGCCAAGCGCTAATCTTTGTGACCCGTTCCAGGAGCTGGTCATTTGTTGAGCGGCCTGGTTATCTTCTTGTATTCGCCTTCGTAGTTGCACAGCTGGTAAAGACTTCCTCTTCTGACCTTTCATTTATCTTCCTTCCATCCTTCTTGCTTAGTTTCACCTAACCGAGTCCCTATGTGGATACGTTTAGATTGCATCGGTAATAGCAGCGATGGCAGACTGGAAATTTGCTGGAATCAAAAGTATTGGATGGGGTTGGACTGGAGTTATATGGATATACAACATAGCAACATACATGTTACTTGATCCAATCAAATTTGCTGTTCGTTATGGTCTAAGTGGCAAACCTTGGACACGAATGTTTGAGCAGAGGATTGCACTCACAGGCAGGAGAGACTTTGGTCAAGAACAACGCGTAGCTGCTTGGGCGTCTGAGCAGAGAACACTCCACGGGCTCGATAACCCGCTCGAAGCACCTGGAAGCAGTTCAAGGGATCTCATGGCTGAAGAAAGCATAAGGCGAGCTGAACTTGCAAGGTCAGAAATGTTCGAAGAGAGTGTGTTTTGTTATGGAAACATTGAAATATGTTTCTCACATTTTCTTGTGTTTGCTTTTGGTGAATTTGATTTTGCAGAATGAGTGAGGTTCAAAAGCTGAAAGGAAAAGAAGAGTCTTCATCACCTGTTGCATCAACTTCGCAAAACTAAACACAAATCTAAATTTCTCACAAATCTTTTGATTGTGAGAGTTTTATTTTACGTTATTGCTTTGTTGTTGTTACCTCTGTCTGATTAAATTATGGAGTGTCTTTGTTCAGCCTTAACATATAAAGAACCGCCTGCAATAAAACGTTTGATTGTTTAAACCAAAACTAAACCGACTTTGATTTTGGTCAGCAAATAAACCGACTTTGAATTGGAATCCTTTTTATATTAACAAGATGAGACGCTAAGTGAAAATCTTAGGTTTTGTCCAAAGAAGGTTTTAAAAAACTTTTAAGAAAAGTTATTAAAATTTTTCAATAACATTATTGTGTAAATAATTAGACTAAATTTATATCACATATACAATATATAACTATTAACAAAATATGGAAGCAAGGAATATATGGTAATTAATATAAAAATTTTTATTTAATAAATATAAAGTATATGTGAGAATATTTTTTTATTTTCTCAATGACTATTAGATTTTTTGGACATGCGTCAAATACGGAATTAGAATATTCTTTGGTAGAGCAGCTCATCTTGTGGAGAATACTTCCAGAAGGTTTGTTGATACTTTGGGCATATAACTCATCTTGTAGAGTTTATAAGTATTTCAAATATGAACTTAATTTTCGTATGTTTGCAGGTTTTGACATCAATAGGAAACTTTTGTATTTGCTCAATTGCAGTTGGAATGGCGATTGAAATTATTGTTATATACGGTCTCCAAAAAAGAGGGTATCGATAACCTTCTTGTCTTGCTGATTGGTGGGATCCCCATCGCAATGCCTACTGTCCTCTCTGTTACAATGGCAATCGGTGCACACCGCTTGTCTCAACAGGTCTATACCACTCTTAAGACTTAATCAAAATCTCTCTTATTTTTCTTGATTGTGTCTCTTTTGTATAATGACCTTGTGATTCGCTTGAATGGTGCCATAACAAAGAGGATGACAGCCATGGCTTGGGATGATCATTAATGCACTTGTGAGGAGGGGGTTGACCATGATATGGTTGTGCTTATGGCTGCATGATAAGAGGTTTTTTGATCTCTCTCTCCCTC